GATAGCAATACCGATATATAGTGCGAAAGTTAATCCTACTATAAGGTAGGTCCACATTTTAACATCCATGATTTTTGATTTATATTTTGTTAATAAATTATTTTAATTTTTAATCTTCGTGTACGTCATATTCTTTGTCTAGTTTATTCATCAACCATACATAGACAAAAATGAGAATACAGAAAATATAGATAGACCCTTGCTGTGCAAACCAAAATCCGAGCTTAAAGCCACCGAATCTGACGCTATCCAAAGAATTTTATGTCGCTGGTGGTGGTGTATCCTCTCTAGCCAATGGTATGGCAACTGCTGCCGACTGGATGTCTGCTGCTTCGTTTATTTCAATGGCAGGAATTATCTCATTTGCTGGTTATGATGGCGCTGTGTATCTCATGGGATGGACGGGAGGATATGTGCTTCTGGCCCTTCTATTGGCACCATATCTCAGGAAGTTTGGAAAATTCACTGTTCCCGACTTCATAGGTGACAGATATTATTCTAATACTGCACGTACAGTAGCTATCATTTGTGCTTTGATCGTATCATTTACCTATGTAGCTGGTCAGATGCGTGGTGTGGGATTGGTGTTTTCCAGGTTTTTGGAAATAAGCATTGAATCAGGTGTAATAGTCGGTATGGTCATCGTTTTCTTTTATTCCGTATTGGGTGGTATGAAAGGTATTACTTACACCCAAGTTGCCCAATATTGTGTATTGATTTTTGCCTATATGGTACCTGCGATATTTATATCACTAGCTTTGACTGGAAATGCAATTCCACAGATTGGTTTCGGAAGTACCATGAATGATGGTTCGGGGATGTATCTAATGGATAAACTCGATGGACTGAATCAAGAATTGGGATTTGCGGCCTACACTGACGGGACCAAAAGCATGATAGACGTATTTGCTATAACGTTTGCATTGATGGTAGGTACAGCAGGACTTCCTCACGTGATCGTAAGATTCTTTACCGTACCAAAGGTAAAAGACGCCAGACAATCAGCAGGTTATGCACTATTATTCATTGCTATCCTTTATACGACAGCTCCTGCAGTAGCTGCTTTTGCGCGTACGAATATGATCAATACCGTAAGTAATAAAGAATATGCCACAATGCCCGAATGGTTCAAAAAATGGGAAACAACAAAGTTAATAAAATTTGAAGATAAAAATGCGGATGGCAAAATCCAATACGTCAAAGATAAAGATGCTAATGAGCTTACTGTCGATAATGATATTATGGTATTAGCGAATCCTGAAATCGCTGGACTCCCTAACTGGGTGATCGCTTTGGTAGCAGCAGGAGGACTTGCCGCAGCGCTATCTACAGCGGCAGGTTTATTATTAGTCATTTCTACATCTATTTCACATGACTTGATCAAAAAACAATTAAACCCTAATATTTCAGAAAAAAATGAATTATTGTGGGCACGTGTCGCAGCAGGTCTTGCTATTGTAATAGCAGGATATTTCGGCATCAATCCTCCAGGATTTGTAGCCGCAGTAGTTGCATTAGCATTTGGACTGGCCGCCGCTTCCTTTTTCCCCGCCATCATTTTGGGAATCTTCTCCAAACGGATGAATATGCAAGGAGCTGTAGCAGGTATGATTGTGGGTATCACACTGATGATATTTTACATGTTGAAATTCAAATTTGGAATATTTGACGGTGGTAAAGATGCTGTAGCAGGGTTAGCAAAAAGCTGGTGGTTTGGCATCTCACCTGAAGGTTTCGGTACAGTTGCAATGTTGGCCAATTTTGCAGTAGCATGGGCAGTGAGTTTTATGACTCCTCCACCACCTGCACATGTACAACAAATCGTAGAAGACATCAGAATCCCAAGAGGAGCCGGAGAAGCTCACGCACATTAATAGATATAACCCATGGACTTACGATCGGAATCAATCTCCTGTTCATTTTTATTGTTTTGATTGTTTCTTAAAAGATTCCGGT